TCAGAGTGCTTCTCTCCATCCTGACCATCGACTTGGCTGCCGTTCGCTTTCTCCTCCGAGTCGCTGGAACTGGTAGTCTCCAAGACGATCTTCTTGATGCCATTGACATCGACAACGTTCTCAGAGATGCTACCGCTTCGAGCAGTGTGTCGCTTTTTCAAGGGACTGCGCGAGCGCGAGCGCATCGAGCGCAGAGAGGCAATGGTGCTGACCGAGCGTGCCCGTGACCTGTTCGTCTCGCCGTTCTCGTTGCGGTTGTCGACCAGGAGATGGGTGTTTTCGTCGTCTTCGTTCGCACCACCCTTTGGAGACGTAGGTTCTTCGTCATGTTCCCTCATACCCGAGCGACCAGATCTCCACGACATTCGGTCGCCACTTGGAGCCATGGTGCCATATCCCACGGCTACGCTGTGTACGCCGTCGCTGGCTTCGCGACCTGCCGATGCTAGCAAGCCCTCGCCAATACCACCCTCAGGCGCATGAGAATCCTGGGTTATTACACCCTCAGTCGGAGTTGCCTCGGTTGGGGCCTGGGAGTCTTCCGGTATCGTCTTGGGAATGTCAGGGGTCACGGCTGCCTGGCCGGGCTTGATCTTGACAGTGTTGATGCGAGTCTGCTTGGGTCTAGTCGCGACATTCGAAGGGCCAAGATGCTTCAGGTGCTGCATAACGGTCGGATCATCGCTGCGAAGAGGTGAACCAGCCCCTTTGCTGCCGCTGCTACGGCGACGAAGGAGAAAAGAGGGCTTGGGGTGGCCTTCAGGCATTTCGGGTAGAGAGGTCTTGCGTGGCGCCGGCTTGCCATTCTGCTCCGCGTCTGTTTCGGAGTCTACAGCTTGTGCTTCGGAAGGTTTGCGGGGAATATCGGTGACGACTTTGCCTCGAGGGACGCGGGCGCGAGGGGCGGGGGCCATGCGTCGGATCGCTTTGTGCACGTCGATGAATACGTCGGACTCGTCGATAATTTCCCTGGTCTTATTAGTACAAACTTGGTTGGAAGATCCGGCGACAACGTAGGCGCCAGAGTATTCTTCGAGGATGCACGACTTACTCTCCGATCAATTCTTCGATAACGTCCTCCAGAGTGACCACACCGACGGCACCGCGTGCCTCAGCGGGGAATTCAGAGACTAGCACCATGTGGGACTTGCCCTCCTGGAAGAAGTTGAGAATGTCAAGGCAGCTCGTTTCCGGGCGTGTCTCGGGTAGGGTGGCCAAAGCAAAGTCGCGTACACGTAGGGCATCCTCGGGGTCGTATGTGATGAGCATCTTGACCAGAAGCATACCAACGAAGTTGTTCTCGTTCTCAGGTGTATGGATAGGAATGCGGGAGTAGCCAGCGGAGAGGATGTTGTCCATCATCTTTTCGTCCAAGATAGTGTCGGACGACATGGTAAAGACGTCCTTCATGGGCGTCATGATGTTGCCGACAGCCTTGGCCTTGAGGTCCAGCACAGCGGTGATGATGGTGACTTCGTCTTCGTTCAGGCGCTCGTGCTCGAGTCCGAGCGACTGGTGCAGGCTGACGAGTGTCTTCAAGCCACCCTTCTTGTAAACGGTACCGTGGTCTTCTCCGAGGAGGTAATCGAGGAGTTTGGCAGTCGGCCAGGCGACGATGCCCATGATGTACATGAGGCCGAGGACGATGGGTGCCATGATGGCGCCGATTGGCAGACCATAGCGCACACAGATGGATTGAGGGACGACTTCACCGAAGATGACTGAGGCGTGTTAGACGTAAACAGAGTAGGTGAGAGAGAGGGTGCGCATACCAATGAGGACCGTGGAGCTGACAACGGCAGGCCATCCTCCGCCGAGGGACCTGTCCAGGACTATAGGAAGGGTTTCGTTGGTAATGACGTTACTCAGGAGTAGCGTTACCAGAACCCAGTGCTTGCCTCGCTCGAGCAGCTTCAGCACCTTGGCCGCGTTCTTGCGCTCGTGCTTCTCGCCGGATGAAGCAAGGACTTGGAGATAGATTTCGTCTTGGCCCATCAAGCTGGAGAGTCGCTGTTAGCGCGTTGTGACTCGACGGCGGGACTGCGATGTACTCACGCAATGGTTAGACCTGCAAACACACCACCGGCCAAGACAAGCGCGACGGCGATACCCAGGAGAAGCCAGCGCTCTCCATCGTTGTCCGTTGGGACCTCCTCCCCAGCGGTCTTGAAGGTCGCGTCGCCAAAGGGCATGGGCAACGCGGTCACCATGGGCGCGAAGGCGTGGAAGAGGCCGATGAAGGCGAGGCGAGCAGTCCGCATCGAGCCATTGGCTGCTGCGCGAGGACGAGGGGCGCTCATGGCCATGGGAAGCACCTCAGTGCGGGAAGATGAAGAGTGTCCGAGTCGGGGAGATGGACTGGCGAGAGAGGTGGATTCCAAGGTTTGTGGTGGGCGCGCAAATAATGATGCGGAAGCAGCGGTTTGGTGGGTCTGCGCACGGCCGGGATCTAGACGTATGATGCAGCCTCCCAAAGGCGACAAAGGCGCGTGCAGTCTTATTGTGTCAGACCTCAGCCCGTTGTATACACCCAGCGTAATTAACAGCAGCCTGTCCTTCTACCACGCAATAGCATCTGCCTCTGATCACAGCATGTGTACGCGTCTTCGGTACAAGGGGCCGGACACAAAGTTGACCCCGGGGCGAGGCTTCTTCCCGCTAGCCTGTATTGCTTTCCCCAGGCTCAAGACTAGGCGCCAAGTCCAACACGGTGCCGTCTTCCTACGATCGCAGCCGTCTTTGCCATACTCTGCAGTATACCCAAATGAAAGACAATCGCAAGCCCTGCGTATCACAATCGCACAGTGATTTAGGAGATTTGTCGCAAACCATCGAAGTTTGAACGCGCTAGTCTCCACCTGCCGTGCGAACCATTCTGGCGTCAATCGTCATTATGCAGCGCCTCCAGCCTTGGCAAGCTCCAAGTCACGTTACTGGCAGCCACATCACGTGCCTGCACCTTCCTCTCTCGGCGCTCGCCCGCTAAACTCCGCAACGTTTGAAACCTGGAGAGCCGCTGGTAGCCGCGGCATACACCCGCACAACCGTCGGCTCACATGTTTGTGCCCAGCATGACTTTATTGCATGTACCTTTTCTGGGGTTCTGGGGAAACTCGTTGCTCTCATTTCTATAGACATGGCTGGTAGAACACCATCAATCCGCGCATTGTCGCGCTATCTGCTTCGCCCGCAAGCACCACTCCGACCCCGCTGTCAACACCACCTTCAACGCAAACAATACTCCTCTGCCGCACCTGGCGCACGCCTCAATGGCACAGTAGAGTACGATGTAACCCCCATTCTCCACCACACCGCCAAATCCTCACTTGCGAATCCCGAGTTCCCTGCAGAAATACAGAAAGGCCAGACGAAGCGCATAAACCTCTATACCGCCGTCAACGAAGCCCTGCGATATGCATTGCAAACAGACGAACGCGTCATGGTGTTCGGAGAAGACGTGCAATTTGGCGGTGTCTTCCGGTGTACCATGAACCTCGCTGGAGATTTCGGCACAGAGCGCGTCTTCAACACTCCCTTGAGCGAGCAGGGACTCGTGGGATTCGCTATAGGAGCAGCTGCAGAGGGCATGAAGCCGGTGGCCGAAGTTCAGTTCGCAGACTACGTCTTCCCTGCCTTTGACCAAATACACAATGAGGCGGCCAAGTACAGATACCGGTCGGGGAGCACTGGCGTCAACTGTGGGGGACTAGTCATCCGCATGCCATCAGGCAGTGTCGGACATGGCGCACTGTAAGACATCAAAGTATTTTATACGGACTTTCGCTGACACGTCACTAGCTACCACACACAATCCCCAGAAGCCCTCTTCACTCACACGCCCGGTCTACGCGTCGTCATACCCCGCTCACCCGTCCAGGCCAAAGGCCTACTCCTCTCCGCAATACGCTGTCAAGACCCCGTCATATTCATGGAGCCCAAGATACTATACCGCGCTGCTGTCGAGCACGTACCCGTCGACGCGTTCTACCTCCCGCTCGACAAGGCTGAAGTCCTCAAAACAGGCAAAGACGTAACGATCGTGTCGTACGGCACACCATTATACACATGTTCAGCGGCGATAGCAGCAGCAGAGAAGGACTTTGGGTGCAGCGTTGAGCTGATAGATCTGCGGACAATATACCCTTGGGACCGAGAGACGGTCCTGGAAAGCGTGAAGAAAACTGGGAGGGCGATTGTGGTACATGAGAGTATGATGAATGCCGGTGTGGGGGCTGAGGTCGCTGCTACGATCCAGGAGAAGGCTTTCCTCAGATTAGAGGCGCCTGTGAAGAGGGTGACTGGGTGGGCGACGCATACCGGGCTTATGTTCGAGCAGTTCGTTATTCCGGATGTTACTAGTGAGTTGCGGCGTATTGACATGTGGGTGCTCTATTTTACTGACATTGACAGGGGTCTACGATGCGATCAAGAAGACTATAGACTACTGAATCAATCAGTCTTGAGGGAAATTGACATGCGAAACTGCTATCATTGACGCAACGCTGATACGCCCCTCGTATACACCCCACCCACTTTGAACACTGACGAGTTACATCTTAGTCATATCCGGGAGTCTGTTCTTTCCTCACTCAGGTGCAGAGATAGGCGCCTGCTGTCAGACGCGGCCCGGACCTCTCATTCGTTGAGAATTCAGCCTTGTTCATGCACCTTCGCTTCAGCTACAGGTGATGGTATATGATCTCTCAGCCTGAGCCCCGCAACTCTCTTTCATCCTCCCTCTTCTCAATCAATACTCCTCTGACATCCCCAAGATAACACTGGAAGACATCCAGGCTTCAACCGAGGCAACGCCAACTGAAGGCGGAATAACCCAGGCTTCTCATGCGCCTTGCTGACAGAAGTGTCATGCTCAGCCTTGCGGCATTTTTGTTCTGCGCAATAACTCAGCTGCATCTGTCTGTCTATAAGTCAGGTCCTCGCGCAGTTTATCCATACCCTAGCTGTCTTTCGCTGTTTCCCTATACACTACTATCTTCGTCATGCCTCCCACCGTGACTACTTCGACCAGCAGCGGCACACCAACAGCAATACCGATCATCACCACGCCTACCCCCTCAGACGGCTTCAATGGCGAAGACTTCATCAACAACCTCGGCAGCGATTTGGCGCCTCTTTTGACGCTATTCGGAGAACAAGTTACCAAGCAATTTCTTAGCATGTCGCTTGGCTGGGCCGATCACATACTTCTCGCTGTCGGTCCACTGGGAATAATCACCACGGTAGTCTCCGCGATTCGAGTTTCAAACATCACAGTCTTGAAGGCTATAATTGGTCGGTAAGTGACTCCGATACAAGCTGGTAGCCTCACTGACGTTGATCAAAAGTGCGCGAGAGAAACTCGCAACAGCAGAGCTGGAACTACTCTCATCGACATCATATGCAACGTCGGAACTCTGGACTGATGAAGGGGTCGTGCGTCAAGCGGGCCATGCTAAGATCCTCGAGATGATTGTGTATGAACCAAAGTCTACCAAAAAAGTCTCAAGCCAGGATCAAATCGAACTCAAAGCTCCTAGCCAGGTTCGCATCGGCGACCTCAGTGAGGCCTACCACGCAGGAGTTCTTGAATCGGCGGATGAAGGCCGTTCGAATATGTTCACAGACGTGTTTGGCAGACTGAGCTTCAAATCGAGGAAACCATCACAAGTGCTCGCTCGATCCCGAGTTTCAGAATTGCAGGCTCGGATCAGAGATGATCCCGTGAGGCTGGCCATAGAGCCACCGAACCTTGCACTCAATGTGCACAAGGCCCTTCCAACTAGCTACGAACTATGGACATTTGCCATAGTTGGTGCCGCTCTGCAACTTGTTGCTGTAGCAATACCTACCGCCATGACATATTACTGGAGAAAACCAAAGGGCATGAACCCTGTCCAAGACTACGCATGTCCAACCTTCCTTATAGGAACATGCCTACTCGTGCTGAGTATAGCACTATGCTCGTATATCATCGAAACAACGACTGTCGAGCGGAGTTTCATACCGAAAAATGATTCTGATGTGAAGAAGATCTTCTGGTTGCAACTGCGACAGAATATGGGCGACCAGCCCTTCTATGCGTACGTCATAGTGAGCCATGCTGAAGATAAGAAAATTCGCACTTCAAGATATGATCCAAGAGAGATAGCTGCTATTTCACCGCATCTAAGACATCAGAATCAGGAACGAAGAGTCATCGTTGCGGTTGCCCTTTGCTTCACTGGATTCATTTGCCAATTTGTCGGACTACGAGCACTCCACTGGTCAGCAACAGTCATACAGCTCAGCATCACGCTGTTGATGACTTGTATTCGGGCTTGGATTCGCAGAGGGATCGCAAATCATCCGATAAACTTTCATCTGGATCCGGACTTCAATTCCATAGCTCTTTCAGTCGGAGATGCTTGCAATAATTCATGGCCCACTGAGGGTGAGCATTGGCCAAGAACACATCCTGTGAGATTCCATCCATGGAATTTGCCAGGCGGCCCAGGCAGTACGCCCAGCACCGGTCCGATAGCCATCAACGATCCCATGATCGACCTGCGAGTAAGGCTGCAATCGTTGTCGACTGAATTCGATGGTGATCTCGATCCCCTCTCGAAGAATCTCTCTCGCGCCATAAGAGAGGTGTTCCGTAATGTCGACCCGCAATTTCGACACTCAGCAATAATGTGGGAGCACGTAGTTGAGACTAGGGGTCCCAACGACAATGAATCACACTGTCGCCGCTTGAAGCTCGAAACATATGGTGTTTGGCTTCCTGAGAATGTGGTGCATACTTTACTAGCATTGTGGAGGTATAGTGCAATGGCTGAGACAACCGAGATATGCGTTGCAAAGGTATTTTCTGAAAAGGACTGGAAAGAGAAGGTGGAGTTCCTCGAATCCTACATGCGAGTAAAAATATCGGAACTATTCCTCTCGGTCGATGGGGGGGGTAGCACCGCAATCAGAGGGCATTGCTCATCGTCGGTATCCAGTTGGGGACTCTCGGGAACATCATAGATACAAATATACTGGGCTGAGTCTCGAAAACATGCAAGACCCCGGTACGTCTCATGGGGCCGGTCAGAATCGTCCATGTGGTTACCTTGCCATCCCGGTAGGCAAGCCGGAAGCCCATTTCGCTTTTGAGTTGCTTTCTGGCTTCATGGATGCGCTCTGGCAGACGGCGAAGCTGAAATACAATGCAGAAGCCGAGAACTGGTCTGTGGAGTCCGACGGGCATGATAAAGAGGTTGATGTAGATGGGATCGTTGACATTCTTATGGGTACTGGGCTGGTGCATAACGAGAAAGATGCCCAGGTTTTGGTCTATTCCTCGCTTGCCCGATGCACAGTATGGAAAGACCCACCAGAAAGAGATGGGTCTACTTCCACGGCCCATCAGCATTCCGATCCGCCCCTATCTGCGGGCTTCACTACTCATAACGAGAGCCCACGAAGGAGTCAATCGAGACCCACCACCGCTGGAACAGCGCAAGCGGATGAGAATTTGCAAGACGACGCTGCAACCCCCAGCAATCCCGAACACCGACCCGTTTCCGCACCAGTCATACCAATATGCAGCGTGTCTGAAGGATTGGAAGCAGAAGATAGCTTGAAAGCGGGCGCTATAGCCTCTGGAGCTTCCGCATACAAGCCCACTCCTACAGCAAGCACGTCATCACCTCATGCCTCAAAAGCTATACAATCACCGGATGACAAGGGCAAACAGGCGGCAAGTTCGCACGTCTCTGTGGATCAGTAAAAGCAAAAGTCCTTGAAAATCAGCCGGAGAAAGCGTCCATCCTCATGATGTACCTATGTGTGCGGCTTCGAGCAATACGCGATCTCCCCAGATCTCGCTTCACTAGCGGCGGGAGTGCCTTGCGCTAGAATCCACCAAGCTGGCTGGATGCAAACGTCATGACTTTGAGCGCCGCGAGATCGTCGCGTGGACGTCACAGCTGTCATAGCTCCAGATTTCTTTTCGTAGAGCTTAGGTAAATCGCTCAATCTAGCCCTGGTATTTTCAATCTTCCGTCTCGGACATCTACAAATTCAATCCGCTCATCACCCTCACACGCAAACCTCAATTCATACACAATGGCTAGCAGGACTTTCACACCAATGCTCCGCAATGCGGTTCGCGTCTCGCAGCGGAATGGCATGGCGGCATCTTGCCGTCGCTTCTTGAATACAGAGACGGCACCGAGTCTTTACTCGGCAAAGGCGCACGTAGTTGGCGCACGCACAGGGTACGATGAACTATTCCATTGAACACACGAGGAAACAAACTGACACATCTCCAGACATGTAGACGGCGAGAACCTAAAGGTCGACCTAACAATGGCCAAAGCCCTCGGCGGCCCCGGCGATGCCGGAAAGACCAACCCAGAAGAACTGTTCGCAGCCGGCTACGGCGCATGCTGTACGTTCCTTTTCATACACCTCTACCCATCCCCATTCACTGCAAACACCCCAACTAACCCCACTAGTCCAATCCGCCATGAACGCCGTCGCCCCCTCCCTCGGCGTCAAAATGCCCTCCACCCCCGAAGACTCGATCGTCGAATCCACCGTCGAACTCGTCGGAAGCATGAAAGACCTAGACATGGGACTGCGCGTCCAGCTGCTCGTCAAGGTACGTGGGCTGGCGAAGGAGGATCTGGAGAAGGTTGTGTACAAGGCGAGGCAGGTGTGCCCGTATAGTCGGGCGACGAAGGATAATGTTTATACGACTGTTAGGTGTGAGACTATGTGAGGCGTGTCGTGAAGAGGACGGCATGGAAGAGAATGTAGATGATGTAAAGAATTAACGAATGAGTTATGATTTCAAAGACGAGTTTCCTGAGAGCTTTCAACGATAGCAGCCAACACCCCCTCAGCCACATCCTCCCCATCCTCCGCTTCAGTGACCCAAGTCACGCGTCCACTACGTGGACTGCGTACTTCTAGCTCCATCTTCATTTGTTGGACTACACATATAACGTCCCCTTCCTTCACCACGTCACCCTCGTCCACCAGCACTTCTACAAGCTTCCCTGGGAAGGGGATGCTAATATGCGATGGATCAGATGGGTTCCCGCGCCTGTGATGCGACGTCGCTGCTGATGCGCTCGCAGAGGTTGAAGAGAGGATTATGGTATAAGGCGTTGTTTGGGGCGTGGTAGATGAAGCTGTTGAGGGCGTGGTGAAGAGAAGTTCTGCGCTGAGAGACGTGGGGAAGTCGTTTCGAAGAACACGGGTGAGTTCAAGGTGGTGTGGCGGTGGTTTCTCATTGGCCTTCATGGTGGGGGTGGAGATCGAAATGGACCAAGCGTCACCTTTTCGGAAGAGGGTGTTGGCTGTTGAGACTGAAGCTGTCGAGGAGGATGGCGCAATGTGTGTGAGGGTATTTGGGCTGGCTGAAGCGAGGTTTTGGCTTGATTGGAGGAGCTCAGTTTGTTTGCTTTCTAGCCATTGGGTGTCGCATTGTCCGTGCAGGAAGTCTGGGTGTGCGACGATGGCTTTCAACATGTCGATGTTTGTCTTTACTCCGGCGATTTGTGTATCATCCAACGCTCGCCGGGCTTTGCGAACGGCATCTTTCCATGATGACGCTGTTACAATGACCTTTGCGATCAGACTGTCGAAATCTGCGGATACCACGGCGGGTCGGCCGCTGATGAGATGCGTGTCAACCCGAATGCCGTTGCCGGACGGGAACTGAGAAGATGTAATCTTGCCAATTGACAGTGACCAATCACTCTGAACATTCTCCGCAGTAACGCGAAGTTGGATCGAATGCGCTGGAGGAGGAACTTCCGGGTTCCTCTCGGCCACTGGTAGGCCGCAATCATCCAGAGAAGCACCCTGAGATAGTAAGAGCTGTGCTTTGACGATGTCGGTCATAGAGATTGACTCTGTGATCGTGTGCTCAACCTGTAAGCGAGGGTTGACCTCCAAGAAATAATACTCTTTTGTTGATGGGTTCATGAGGAACTCAAAGGTGCCGAGAGAGAAATATTGTATCTATGCATATATTAGCAAGACAGAAACGTGATTAGCATTCATACCTACATGTTTCGCCATTTTCAGAGCGTTTTCAATGACTTGTGCAATCAGTTTGCGGTCAGACACAACGCTTGGTGCCAGCTCAACGATCTTCTGGTATCTTCTCTGGATGCTGCATTCGCGTTCCCATAGATGCGTCACGTTTCCAGTACCGTCCCCAATGATCTGTACTTCGATATGCCGGAAGCCATCGACTGCAGCCTTTTCTGCAAAGACTTGCTTGGACGGGCTTTCCTCGACTGCTCTTTTTACTAAAGAGGCAAGCTGGTCTTCGCTGCGAATGAGACGAATCCCACGGCCACCGCCTCCATCTACTGCTTTGACCATGATTGGAAAGCCGACTTCAGAGGCGAAGCGCTGAACATCTTCGACTTTGTTAGTCGGTTGCTGGAGTGCTAGAGATACTGGGACGTCGCCTGTTTTACATGTAAGTAATCTTGCAACTCTAACGCGCCTGTTCTCTTACATTGTTCAGCAAGCTGTCTCGCCTTGAGTTTGTCTCCAGTATTACTCAAGATACCCCACCCAGGGCCGACAACTGCTGCGCCGGTTTCTTCCCAGATTCTCTTCGAGAATTCTTCTGACTCTGACAGAAAGCCGTATCCTGGATGTACAGCATCGATTTGGTGCTTTTTGACGATGCCGATAAGATCATCAATACTCATGAAAGATGAAGCTGATGATAGTCTGATCGCATGGCTTGCTCGGACGGCATGCGAGTCGTCGCCTGATACGTAGATTGCGAACGTCTCAATGTCGAGTTCTCGCGCTGAAGAGATAATTCGTGTTGCTATCTCCCCCCTACAGACAGTTAATCACGCTCACCAGGACACTATTTGGCCACTGACCTATTCGCGATAAGAAGTCGCTTGATGGGTCTTTGTGGAGGTCGCGTCATATTGGAGTCCAGCCAGCAGTATGGATCGGTCAAGCAGTACATTCGTGGGTATACCTAGGTACCTATGCCACTATACCATCAGTGTAATGACTCGAGTGGACGAGTCGTTGGTTAGGTAAGGCGAGATCACGCTGTCCGTCGTCAAGGAGGCTTTTTGAGAGCTGGAATGCGATTCGGATTATATGTCAAAGCTGGACGCTCGTTGAACATTCGATTCATCCACAATGACATGGTCGCGGTTTGGTGGAGTGCGATGGAGGAGGGCAAGCGCGGGGAGCTTGAAGATGCCTCGGTTCCCCAGCTCTACCCCAACATTCCACCACGACCATCCCATCTTGGTCCGCATCATCGAGATGTGACGATTTCGTTGTTGCTCCATCACTGGAGCTCGAAAACAACCTTATTTACCCTTTTGTTAACGATCATGGCTGGCGAAGACCCAAAGCCCGTGCCCAAAGACGCGTCGACGTCATCCGAAACCGCCAAAGACCGACTCGCGCAGGTCAGCTCCCACATCGCGCCCAACACGCCAAAGCGACGACGACGGAAAGGAGCAGACTCAGATCTTCCCGCTGATTACTCAGACATCCTCGGGCAGATCGCGACTCTTCGCAAGAGTGCCGCGACGCCCGATAAGAACAATAGGGGCTATGTGAGGCAGAAGCAGGCAGGAAAGCTATGGGTGCGCGAAAGAGTCGAGCAGCTGCTTGACCCTGGAAGCTTCCAGGAGGTGGGCAGCGTGAGTGGGACAGTCAAGTGGAAGCAGTTAGGGCCGGTAAAAGAGGAACCGGAAGACTACGTGCCTTCGAACAACGTACAAGGTATGTTCTATGGACAGCGTTGGGAAGATGTACTGACGGCGGGTAGGCTTCGGACGATTACGAGGTCGAAAGATTGTGTTCACGGCCGATGACTTCTCCATACGCGCTGGACACGCTGATGGCGCGCTTATGGAGAAGACCGTGAGCTCAATTCTATTCATCCATCCATGCTGGTACTGACGATTGCAGATATACATGGAGAAGCTTGCGATCGCATTGAAGCTTCCTATCGTCAAACTTGTCGACGGGTCTTCAGGCGGCGGCTCCGTCACGACCATCCGCTCCACAGGCTTCTCCTACGTCCCTCCGCTACCCTCGTTCGCACAAGTCGTACAACAGCTCAATAAGGGTATTCCGAATCTGGGTGCTGTGGCGGGGCCGGCCATTGGCTTGGGAGCAGCTCGCGTAGTCGCTTGCCATTTCTCAGTCATGGCTGCAGATATCGGCTCCTTGTTCAATGCTGGCCCCAGTGTGGTGAAGAACGCGACATTTGAGGAGGGACTCTCTTTTACAGATCTTGGTGGACCAGCAATGCATTGCACCAATGGCACAATCGATAACCTGGCGCCGGACGAGGCGGGCTGTTTTGAACAGATACGCACGGTTTTGAGCTACCTGCCCGACTGCGGTACGAAGCTGCCTCCAGCAATCGACTGCTCTGACCCAATCGACCGAATGTCAGAAAACCTCCGATCGATCATACCGCGTTCCAAGAACCGCATGTACAACCCGCGGGCCATCATCACCGAAGTTGTCGACCAAGGCTCGTTCTTCGAGATCGGAGCGCTCTGGGGAACTACAGCAATAGTAGGGCTCGCGCGGTTTGCGGGCAAACCAGTCGGGATTGTGTCTCTGAACTGCGAGCAGAACGCTGGTGCATTGGATGCATTGGGTTCGCAAAAGATCACACGCATGCTAAAGTTCCTCGATGTATTCAATCTCCCGCTCGTCCAATTCGTCGATGTCCCAGGCTACGCGATAGGAACCGTTGCAGAGCGCACTGCAACGATGCGGCACGGCGTCACTCTCGCTGCGACCTATTACAGCACAACCATGCCCATCTTTAACGTCATCGTGCGACGCGTCTACGGCGTAGCAGGAGGCATCATGCTGGACTGCCGCGACCCACGCATGCGCGTCGCTTGGCCGTCCGGCGTGTGGGGCTCCTTACCACTCGAGGGTGGCATTGAGGTTGGACATTCGTTTGAACTCAAGGAGATTGAGAGGAAAGAGGGCAAAGAAGCGCGCGACAGGCGTTATACAGAGTTGGAGAACGAGTACAAACGACTGATGAATCCAGTTCGTACTGCGAATGCGTTCGGCATCGAGGAGATTATCGATCCGGCATATACACGGCGAGTCTGTTGTGAGTGGACAGATCACATGTATGAAAGCTTACTGCCAGAGCGCATTTTGGAGAGGATCGCGGGAAAGTTGCAGCCTTCTTTCGCGTAGTCGCTCTGTTTTCGAATACAGTCATTTATTCACCGGTCACCTACACTGCGTCAGTGCAACAGCTGGTCAGAGGCAGCGCTGAGTCTACGATACGTTCGCAACATCTGGAGTAGTCCGTCAGACACCATCGCTTACTTACACCGCATCGCTTACCATAAGACATACCGCGCACGGCCCACTGTTGTCCATCTTCCGCAATCGGCTCATCATATCCTGCTTGTATATCCAATGCCATGGAGCCGAAGGTTCGTCCTCCGGATGCGGTGCCGTGCTGACCATTCTGGAACAGGCTGGCCGTCAAATTGGTATCGCCAATCAAGTTCTTACTGGGTACTTTACCCCTCTTGGCATGTCCTCGGGTTGAGGAAACTCACATCGAGTATGAGATGTCATCGTGTATCATGCGCACGTCGTTTGGCTCCGACTTACAGATTTCTTTGTCGCATAGCGCCGAACACACATTACGCAGATACGTGTGTGTTTCATGCCCACAGTCATACGAACAGCGACACAAAAGTGAATCTGCGTGGCGTA